ATAAAAAAGAAAACTTTTTTGAAAAGATCCCTTATGCTAGAGGCCATTTGTACATTCATGATTCATGGCAAGAAGTCTGATACCAACAATAATAGGGGCGGGGAAGATGCTGATTTCAAACCTTACAAATTATATTGCATGTTCAGGACTTCAGTAGAGGTGATGACTGTAGATGGTAGAAATAGCAAGACAATGAGAATTAGATTTGAAACCTGAAACTATGATTGAATTGCTGCCACCTCATGATACACTTTAAAGGATAAGAGGTTATTCTTATGAATGGTCAAAGAAAGTGGTTCAGTGACATGGAATGTACTCCTAGTGAAGATGCTGTGGAGACTGTTGAAATGACAACAAATATTGCGGATATTATATAATCATAGCTGAAAGAAAAGCAGTCGTGGGTGAGAGAATTGATTTTAATTATGAAAAAGTTCTACTATGGGTAAAATGCTACCAAACAGCATTGCATGCTTCAGAGAAATTGTTCATGAAAGGAAAAGGCAACCAATATGGACACGGTAATCGTTATCTTACTTTAAGAAATTAATGCTGCAACTCCAACCTTCAGCAATTAACACCCAGACAAGTAAACAGCCATCGACATCGAGAACAGATACTCCACCAGCAAAAAGATTATGATTTTCTCAGAAGATGGTTAGATGTGTTGGCAAAAATTTATTTTACTAATGTATACATATTTCCTTTTCAGACATAACACTGCCGTAGAGTGCAATAGTTTCTCTATGTGCACTGAGAAATACATAAAAATGTGAGATTGAATTGTAATATTCTCTTTATCAAAATAGTCTAGAACTGAACGTGCAATGCCTCCAAGGTATACTCACCTGAAATAAATGCCAGAAATTAAAGTTGTCTTGTGATATGTTCAATGAGGAAGAAAAATGAGGGCTTCTATATAGGCAATTTAACCTAGTTAGGACATTAAGGAAGAGTTTGCTAAGAAAGCATGATGAAAATGAGATATGCAGTTTCATAGAAATTTTAACGATGATAGCCGGAGTGTTTTTCATACAGGAAGCAGTTTGACAGTTTGAGAAGCTGCAAGTTCAGTGTAATCAGAGAAGAGGAGCATACAGGGATGCTGGTAAATGATGAATCAAGAAGTAAATAGAGATCAGATTTGGCTTGACCTTGGAGACCTTGGTGTGATAGTGCTTGGGGTTATTTGATGACTATTCAAAGAGTTTAAACAAAGTTAGAAGTCTCTATTTGCGTTCTAAGGGATCATTTTGGCCACAGAATGCATAATGCTTTGGATGTGTAGAGACTCCCCTTTGTGGTAAATAAAATGGTGTACATGCTGGATATGGGGAGGGATAAACAAAGAAACTTTGTCTTCTACCAACACAATTTGCTTCAGTCTGGGAGGCAGGTTCCCCTCTAGCCCTTGCCATGAAGCCAGACAAAATTGTTTCTTCTCCTATGTCTCTGGTATCTTTTGAGTTGCTGCCTCAGAGCTGAAACTCAAAGGAAGTGAGTCCATCAATGAATAAGTCTGTGTGGGCTCTTTAAGAGGGTTGCCTGCATTCCAGACGCCCTCCATCTCACTCAGCAGTAATCTCCAATCATTTCATAACCAAAATTTGTAGAAACTTCTTTTTCGCAGCATTGAAATTCTGGGCTGGGGAACCTCTTAGGGGCTAGAACCCTTCATTCCTCAGGGGATCCCTCAAAGTTGAAATATTTCTCCCAATTTTTAGCTGGCACATGTGGGTGTGTGACCAGCCGGTTGTGAATTTCCACCATGCCTACCAGTATCTATATGTTAATAGAACATCTGTTACAGGCAGACTTCAGGCTATTCTCAATACAGGTTTTCCATAGTTTAGTTATAATTTTGATGTCATTATGATAGAAGGCAAAAACAATATTTACCTCCTCTGCCATCTTAACCAGAAGAATTTTGAATGTCACTTTGAAAATATGTCCATCAAAGCTCTCGTGTTTGTTTTCCTCGTCATGTCTCTTACTTTCTAGGAGGTCAGTAGCTAAAGGTGCACTATTATGTTTGATTGTGTTACGTGTTATTATGTCAAGGACACAATTAATTAACTCTGTGGGGGCATGATGTCCCACTGGGCCTTCACTGTGAATACCTCTGTGAATGCAGTTAGGGCTCTTCCTGCAGGCTTTTGTTGCCATGCAGACTACTGTCAAAGTTGGTTTCTTTTAACAACTTCAGAGAATTCGATTTGCCACCGGATTCTTTGTTTCTGTTTCTTCCTTGGTGTGAGGTCTGTACATTCTGTTCTGTTCACAGAGCACCTATTTGTTTTTGCTCTCCCAGCTGCATGACCCATGTGTTTACGTTATGATTGTTGGTGTGGTGGTGGGGTTGGGAGAGTGTCTCTATCTGACCTTTGACTGAGCCTTGTTCTTAGCCAGTGATGTGTCCTGGGTCTGTGTTGTGTCCTTTCAGTTATTCCCATCTCTCCTCCTGGAGAAGTCAAACTGTCACTATTTGCAGATGACACGATTCTCTAGATAGAGAACCTTAATCATTCCACAAGGACACTACGAGAAATAATAAGCAAATACAGTAAAGTCCCTGGATACAAAATCAATGTTTAAAAATCCATAGCATTGCCATATTCTAATAATGAACCATGAGAAAAAGAAGTTGAAAAAATAATTCCTTTTGCAACTGTAGCAAAAAGAATAAAATACCTAGGAATAAAATCGACAAAACATGTGAAGGACCTATAAAATGAAATAAGGATCTATATCATGAAAATTATAAGACCCTAATAAAAGAAATTGAAGAAGATATAAAGAATGGAGAGATATTTCGTGTTCTTGAATTGGAATAATCAACATAGTCAAAATGACCATATTTCCTCAAACGTTATACAGATTAAATGCAATGCCAATTGAAATCTCATGGGTATTTTTTTAAGAAATAGAACAAAAGTCATCAGATTTGTATGGAAGCACAAAAGACAGTGCAGTGCCAAAGCTATCGTGAGGAAAAAACAAACAAAAAAATCAAAATGAGGCGGGGGGCATCACTCTTTCAACTTCAAATTACATTACAAAGCAACAGTCATCAAAACAGCATGGTATTGGCAGCAAAACAGACACACGGATCATTGGAACATAACTGAGAGTCCAGAAGTAAACCCATATTTATACGGCCAAATAATTTTCAACAAAGAAACCAAAAACATACAATGGTATAAATGGTGCTGGGAAGACTGGTTAGCCACTTGCAAAAGAATGAAACTAGACTGGTGTCTATCACCACACACCAAAATTAACACAAAATGGATTAAGGACCCAAATATAAGACTTGAAACAATAAAATTCATAGAAGAAAACATAGGAACTACACTCAAAGACCTTGGACTTAAAGAGGATTTTATGATTTTGACCTCAAAGGCAAGAGAAGTAAAAGCAAAAATAAATGCATGAGACTACATCAAACTGAAAAGCTTCTGCTCAGCAAAAGAAATCATCAACAACGTACAGAGACAACCATCCAAATGGGAAAATGTATTTG